GGCCGGTTCTGATAGCCTGCTGACCTGGCATGCCTTTCAGAAAATGAGGTATGTGTATTTTGTAAAGGATGGGCCGGAGAAGCACGCCGGCGTCTTGTATGGATTAGAGCCACTGGTGTATTAAACAAATATATACTTTTTTTTTTATCAAAATTCAATTTATTATTATTAACAAATGTTTTTATATTTCAATTTATTCTTTAATGAACAACAAGACAAGAACACCCAAATTAGAAAGACAAATTTAGGATTTTGAGTTGATTGTTCAGATTTGATTTGACTGTGGAAAACATAAGTTTGACCTTTGAATTCTAATGCAATTAGTATTTAGTAGCTCCCATATAAAGTGAACGACCATTTCTTCCTCTTTTTCTTTTAAATAAATAGCAAAAGTTTAGATATTTTCTAAAAAATAGAAATAAGATATATAAATTGTTGCTACAAAAATTATTTTTAAAAATAAAAATTAACAAAGACATATACCCTAAATTATTATAAAGATTCGAAAAATTAAAAAATCGTTACTCTACAAAATAAATATATAAAATACACACTTTTTATTTGGTTTTGGGCTTTGAAGCATTTGACATCTAGAGGGCCGTGACAATAGTTCTAGTCCATCCACTTCTTACTGGGCTTTCTGGAAGCCCATCATAATTCATGGACCACGAAAACAAATCAGAAACAGCTGAAGGTTGGATCGGTCCATTAAGTACGGGAAAGATATTATTTATGGGCTTCTAAGTAGGGAGTTGAACTTTGAGCTTTGGGCCGAGGCCTGTAGTCCATCGCCACTAGAAATTCTTTTACATTTTCCATTTTATTACATATGTATGGAGTATTTTTAATCAAGTTATTATTCTTAATAACCATTAAAAAAGGATGACTTGGAAAATAAAATTTTATTTTCCGTTATCCTCCAAAAAAAAATAAAAAAAATTCCGGAAATGTTACCTGTTAGCCAATATAATAGCACCTTTTGGATGGGTCATTTTTTACCATAGTCAGATAAATTATTATAGTTTTAAGTCAAACCCCGATAGTTAAAATACTTATTGTCTTACCTTAAAATTTAAGTGTATTGTACTTCTAACAAAAAGAAAGTGTATCCTACCCAATAAAAAATTGAAGTCTATTTAGTAATTTTAAATTGAAGATAAAAAAAAATGAACGAAATATGCTTTTTTTAAGATAGATCATATATAATTAACTCACTGACATAATTTAGCTAACTTGAACTTAGCTCATGTGGTTTAAGACACCTATCTCRGACCAATAGATCGTGAGATTCTCATATGTGTGTTGTATTGAAAAAAAAACCCTCATTAACATAATTTGGTCAAAGTTTTTTTTTTTACCAAATAATTCGGTCAATTTAAACTTAACTCAAGTGGCTAAGGTATTTATCTCCATCCAAAAAGTTATGAGTTTTAATTCCCATGTCCGTTGAATTAAAAAAAAAAACTCACCAATACAGTTTAGCTAAAAAAATATTATCAGGTTTATTGTGATTTTTTTTTTAAGTTAAAGCAAACATTATGGATACAAAATTTATCTAGTAAAAAATAGTTGAGAGTAAGTTAACTCATGTAGTAATATTTTTGTTTAAATCCCTTTTTTTGTCCCAAAATTTTCAGGTATGTTTCATTCTCATTCCTAACTTTATAAAAATAGTCAATTATTCAGTTTCAAACTTTTAAACTGTGAAGAACTTGGAAGAATCTCGAAACTGGTGACGACAGACGATTAAGCTTGAAGAGAATATCTGGCCTCTAACGTTCCGGATAAAATTCTCTCTCTCTTTGATTTTGTGGGATTCTCATTCTGGTTTCCTACCGCCCAAATTCATAGGGCATGTCTCATCCAATAGATACCACCCTCTGATTTCCTGATAATGGCCTCTCTAATTTGCTTTTCGTCTTGTTTCATTTCCTCTCCTGCTTCCTTTGCTGATGGAAATTTCAGATTTCACTTGAAATCTCCCAATCGATCTCCAAAATTCAATTCGGAACGATTCAGATTTAGGGTGAAAGCCCTTAAAGAGAAAACGGGCGAAATCGAACGCCCATCTCCAGATGAAGTTACCAAGAAGTACGGACTCGAAGCTGGTCTCTGGAAGGTACCTTTCTCCTGTCATTGCTGCTTCGTTTTCCTCTCCATCTTTCTGCTATCAAGTTTATTACAACTTAGAAGAGATTCCTATTCCTTGTTATATGGTGGCATAGGTTTCAAGTACATTGGTTTGATACCATCCATTTTCTCTATGAAGGCAGCAAAAATTTCCTTCCATTTATGAAACCATAATATATGCTGCTCAACTGTTCATTTTTTCTTTCAGAATTCCCAATGCTCTGTTATGGCTTCAAATTGTATCACGATCTGAATTTCAGTGTAGAGAATCGAATTGGGTTAAAAATAGTTTACAATAATTATGTATTCACGATTAGTATCTCTTCACAATCTGATATTAGCAAACAAGAAAGCAAATTAAACCCAATCAAAGGATCTTTCATTTAACTTGGAGGGTGAGAGGTTTCTTTATCCTTGGCTCATTACATGGGGATAGGAAAGATACTTATTTTCTTCCTACCTGGAGATATGCCTTGTTTGATGTTATGAAAAACATGCTGTTCATCCTTTTCTGGTTACAGCAAATGAAAATTTCTTGTTTGTGCTGCAGATATTTAGCTCAAAGGAGGAGGGAGAGGGCGATGTTGGGAAAGGCAAATCAAAGGGTGAGCAGGCAAAAGAGCTGCTTGCAAAATATGGAGGTGCATATTTAGCCACCTCCATAACTCTCTCCCTCATCTCCTTCTCTCTGTGCTATGCACTCATCAGTGCCGGTATCGATGTTCAAGCTCTTCTGCAGAAGGTAATAACATTCACGAATAGGCGAATCACTTTGTTCTTGATCAAATATGTTCACAATGGAGATTTGAAAAAATTTTCAGGTAGGAATTTCGGCTAATGAGACTGGAGAGAAAGTTGGGACGTTTGCTTTGGCATACGCAGCGCATAAAGCAGCTTCTCCAATAAGGTTTCCTCCAACAGTAGCCCTCACTCCAATTGTTGCAAGTTGGATAGGGAAAAAGGTTGAGAAACAGGAATAGCATAATGGAGAGTTCTGAACATTGGTTCGGTTCAAATTATCTGCTAGAATTTTGTTTCAAATCATCTGATAATGGATATTGGTCTAAATCCCATACAGATTACACATTAATGAATTATAAAGTATCCATCATTTCTACTCTTGGCTAATAGGTTTATAAATGGAGCACTTGACGTGTCTAATCAACTTCTCATTCCGCCTGTCACTCTGAATATATATTGTTTTCAACCATTAAATTGAACCATTTTGCAAACTTCGGAAATGAAATGATCAGTCTACCTAAATCTTAGAAACCAAAAAATCACCACAAAAAGGAGGGGGTCCAGCTTAAACTCAGGCTCAAATGAATGTCCTGCTATTCATTTTATGAAACAAAGAATTGTACAATGCAGAAATGACTATCTTATTTACTACACATTTTTGTACTACAACTGTACACGGGCGCCCTTCCCACCAGTTTCCTCTCTATCCTTTTGGGTAGAGGCGCTTCTCTATGAACTTTCATGGAGGACAGTCTCGACCTGAGATCATCGGTTCCAGTCCTTGGGGCTAATTACGGATCACCAGGATCATACATCATACACATTCTTGCACAATTGTAGCATCGATCATCAGATTTATCAGAACAGATTCCTTTTCAGTTTCAGCTACTAGTAGGATTAATAGAAGGCATATCAGTTGTGTTATTCGGGGGATTCTGGGTTTGGGGTGTGCTGACATTGGCAATGCTGTAATCTTCATGAAATGTACCCAGTTCATTCCACTCAACGCCAGCTACATAGATGGGTCAAGGACAAGGTAGGCAATGCAGGATCACTTTATACAATGATAAGGTAAAAAGTTTAAACAATTAAGAAGGCGGATAGATTTATATCGAGAGGATACGTTCAGATCTCCAAATGTCTGTGATACTAACATCAGCATCAGACAAGAGCCAGTAATCAGCATCACTCTGAATAAGAAACGAAGATATTAGATGCTTGAAGACATTATTACTCTGTTCTTAATAAAATATATTACATCTTAAATTTAAATAAACCATACGATGAACTCGAAACATTCTACCTCTCCGAAGAATAATAGGTGATAATTGACAACAAAAACTCTCTAACTATTCAATTCAAGTAGTTACGGGTTTCATAACTAAACTATCCTTTCCCCATTTGAAATGCTTCATTTCATAATTTCATCCTCGGACAATATTACGGAAAAACTAACTTGTTGCTAGTGCTGTTAATTTCTATTTCGATCAATTAATTCCTTCTCTTTTTTTTTTTTTTCCATAGAGATTGCATTTTCTAACAGCTTCCAAAATAATTCTATAAATTAGACTCACTTCACAGGGGGAACAATTTTCATGCTGCCATGCACGAGGTCCCCAGATGGAACCAGCCGATTCTTGAAAGAAACTAACTTGTTGCTTGTGCTTTTATTTTCTCCCTATCCCAGTCAACCGATGGTTGTTTATAGGTATAGCATCTTTCTTGTATTAGCCCGCCTCCCCTCCCTCCCCCCCAAAGTTTATTTTGAAAAATTAGACTTACATCTACAACCGAGGGAACAATTTTCATAATTCCACCCACGAAGTCCTGGGAAGCATTTAGATCGCAGCACATTCTGTGTACATCTTGCTCTCGCGTTTCAATTTCCTTCCCCCTGCTATCATCTGTTATCATCGTTGTTGCGGGTGTTTCATTAAACCCTGAACTTGACGGCAAGCTTGGGGGCACTTCAACGCCATTTATCTCCTCAAACTTCTCTTCAAACTGACTGCAAAATGGAATCATAATTTTAGGTATAGCATGAAAAGGAGGATATGTGAATACATACTTGATACTGGGCCGTTCCAATTCCTAGTACTGTTTTCATCATTATGCCCATAGATAGTGGTATATGGTTCTGTACACAATCCAACATTCCTCAACAACAGGAAGAAATGTTACCTGACAAGGTAAACATCAATGGGGCCCATGGTGCTTCTGAGGACTATCCTGTACCTCCTTTGGGGGTAGTCAACGGCCTGGTAGATGATAGGAAATGTGATTGGAAGATAAAATACAAGAATGTGTACTTTTCTCATCAAGCTTCTACGATTAATTACCTCATCGGGATCTGGGACTTCTAAAGTGGTTCCATGGGGAGCTTTAATAGCTATGAGAGTTTCATTCTGGTAGATGCAAAATATAGACGGAACAATTAGAAACGGAGCAGCATTCTATATTCATAAATCCAAATTAATTGCCAATCATTTCCTTGTGTGATAAACTAACCTGGAAACAAGGCAAACCCTTGATGTCTTCCTCGGTTACAAAAAGCCACCTAACAATTAAATAAGGAATACAACTTTAAAATTTTCAAGAAAAAATGAAAAACATTAAGAAGGTGAATCTTGGTGAATATAATAATATTGCCTTTGGTTGTTATCATCTTCACTGAGGTCCCTTAATCTTTCCTGCATCTCTCTGCAATTATAAGAAGTCTTGGAATGATAACAGGGGCACAAATTTTCCATTCAATGACTGAATTAAGGACTCGTTTAACAACCTTATTTGTTCATCTAATCCACGCTCCTCCATGGAAAGGTTCTCTACTTCTGCCTGCATATGTGCAAGTATCAGCTGGGAAACAAATATTTTCACCAAGAGAAACTTCCCAACGTGAAGAATGAGATTGAGATAGAATGTGGTCATCATGTTAATGAAAAGTGATATAGCTGATAAATAAGCACAGCCCCACTTGAAGCTGAAAGATTAATGAGTGGACAACCAATGACATTAGCATGTAGATGAAGTAAAGTTACTTGCTTTCTAGCAAATTTCATGCTAGCATTCCATCCAACAACCACAATTTTGTTCTTTTTGATAAAATAAAATCTTATTTCACATTAAGATCAAATAGCAGCAGTAGACTTAGTCACCAACACCTCCAAAGTAAACTGAGAAAGACAGTCAAAATTTCCTGTTTTTGAATACCTGTAGACCAGCATAATTGTCATCAACGTCCCCTGGCCTTGAGACATCAAGCCCCCTAATCAATCAATTATTCCAGAATAAGTAGATTCACAGGAAATATAGTTCTATTTAATAATAAGCTGAGAAACTCAAAAGAATGTATGAGATAATACATACTTCCACTGAATTCTGTTCTTAAGCTTCTTTTCTATGAGACCAATTCCTTCGAGGACATTTGTTATATCATATATTCGTCTTTTTTGTACCTATTAGTATTAGAGCACACAAAAGTGTCAACTAATTGAGCTTCATAATAGAAGCCTATAATGGTCTAGAAGCAAAGTAACCTCCAATGTGTCGGCTGCTTTATTTAGATCAAGAATACCATCTTCTGCTTGTTTGATCAGATTAATAAACTTTTTTGTTAAGAGACCTAAATGAAAATGAATAAAATTATGAACATATGCTAATAGAAAATATAAGACAGTTACAACAAAGTCACCAGGAGTAACAATAAGTTACCAAGAGAACTATCATAACGGCATGGGCCAGCTGGTGTAAGATTGTTTGCAGAAGGTGAACCTGAAACTTAAACATTTGCTCATTAATCTATTATCCTTGTGAATGAAAGAAAGAAAGAAGTTGAAAGATCTTCTAACAAACTAATAATACAATCTCTCTATGCAAAAGAGGTTCATTTTCCTCACTCGGAAAATGAGAATGGGAGGAGGGCACATGTATACATTGCAATTTTAACTTAAAACGGACGGTACAGGCTCCAGAGACAAAAAAAAACATCTATGATATACTACTTACCAACATTTGACATCGGAGTCTGTGGCCCTGATCTACTGCATTTGGTTAGCCTTGATTTGTTCCCCTTTCCACCTTTCACAGATACAGGTGTTTGATGGGGACTACTAACTACCTCAGTAAATCTAGGACCGGCTGCTCTATCAGTGGACTCGGCTTCATAATCTGCTACCTCACTCTTCCGCTTTAATTGCTGACAGACAGGATCCAAGATTTCAAACATAGCAACATATGCAACTAAGTAATTGCATTGATACATAAATTAAGGTGACTCATTTCAAACAAGAAAATGATTACTCTCCAAGAGGTGTAATAATGGAGGAAATATAGTGCCTTTTATACAGGGGGAAAGAAAATTATTTGGTTAATTACTTTACAAACCAAAAAGACAAAAATACAAAAATACAGCACCTACCACAAAGACTATAGGTCTAGAAAATTTGATAGGATTGCTATTAGGATAGATTAGGGATATTATTAGAGTACTGAGGGTACCCTAGTAATTAGGGAATTTGTTAGGTAAAGTTGTTATAAATACAGGGAAGGTGTAAGAATGGAGGTAGGCAATTGGTAGTATGATTTAGGCTTGAGTAGGAATACTCAAGAGAGGGGAGAGTCCAAGTACCTCGAATTACTTGGGTAATATTGTAGTTATTCTATCTTTTATATTTCAATACATTGTTGGTGTTCGGATTCTATCAAAATTTTAATCTTTATCTATCTTATCTATATCAAATAGAGGATACAAGATGAAGGGGGAGATGAGGAAAAAACATGAGAATAATAAATAGAGGATAAAAGATGAAACAAAAATGTCATGAAGATTTTTCAGAAATTAGTAGGAAGCGTTTTAGTTTTACTGTTTTGTTCTCCCAGACCCGTTAACCGCTATGTTCTCATTAGCTCAACTTTTCTTTGATTTTGATAGTTTTTTTTTTTTTTAAGAAAAAAAGGATCATCTTTTCATCTAGAATTATGGCAGAGTTTTCTTGAAATCTTGAAAATCTCCATTTTCATGTGTTCCCCAGGTATGGAAACTCAAAATTTTCTAGTAAAACTTGAATTAATAATAAAAAACCCAAATAGGTAGCTAATAGGGATAAAAACTCTGAAACCACCTAGCCAAGTCCAAGACCTGCTCAAGCACTAGAGGTCACAGTCCACACATTCTCTCATCCATATCACAGTTGCCTCCTTGTTCGCTTATGATTCTTAAAAGCATATCATTTCAATGAAGGACGTGAGTAACGTCATCAGTATTTAAAGTTTTAAGGAAATAGGAAAAATATATACATGCGCACACATTCATGTGCAACAGTATAATCTCTATCACATGTTTAAAAGCTACTGAGCAATTTATGCTGAAAATGTTCATTCATTTCCTGGCAAACTCTTTTAGTATAGTCATGAGCCATAACCTCTAAGATTTGCCCTGATTTCTTTTCTTTATGGATGTCTATGTCTTGGCAGAAATCCCTCAAGTTTTCACTTTTCATTTGCTAACATGTCGTATGTGGGAGGATGTGCCAAAGACAAAAAGGTTTAGTTATCTGAAAAGAAAATTGTAACTGGACATGGAGGGTGGTTCCTTTTTGTTCATATATCAGCATAAGTTACACTTCAGAGATTTTAGAAATATGATGAATGTGAAGTAAAGGTTGCAGAAACAAATTGTTTACAGGGTACAGAAATTCATGGACCTCAAGATGAGATCGTTCGAAAAAAGACAAAGAACCTCAAATGAAAAGCCCTAGTTTAGTGAGAAAAAACTCAAATAAATAAACTACCATTCTTCCTTTCTTTATTGGAGGGTACTAGTTTGAGATATCCAGCTATCCAAACGATACACATCCTTTGATATTGAAATCAAGATAACATGCATGGAAAACTTTGTCCAAAGAATATGGAATGTTGACCACAAGGCAATGACCTAACGTCAAGAATCTGAGTTGTTCAAACCATGCATAACAGCATAAGTACTAAACTTAACTAACTTCTCAGAATAATCATACATCACAATGACAGAAACCTTCGCTTGATGAAAGTAGCCTATTAGAGATGCAGCTCATTAGAGAATTGAACGAGCACCTACAACCAAGAGGAACGGAATGTTGACCACCAGGCGAAACTTTCTTACTGACCTATTTGACCACTTGACAACAACTATTTTGGTGATGTCCTAAGACTGAATAGATCATCACACAATAACACAACTCAATTAGATCAAGTCAGCTAAAATTGTTATCCCTCAAGGTAGTTTCCTTCCGGTATCAATTGTTTCTATCAGGCACGGGCAATGTACTATAATTATAATTGAGAACTTACTATTGAACAAACACATCCTTTGCCAATGCCAAGAATTTAGCATATTTTCTCGAGCAAAGTAATGAGAAACTAATTTCACATGTATCATCTACCAGGATCAATATTCTAAGTTTGTGACTATCAACTCATTGCTGGCACGGTGTCGACCAGCTTGGCGGCCATTAGATTTTGTTGACAACAATAATCTTTCAAGCGCATAAAGACTGAACTGAAAAACAGTACATCATCTACTATTCTAGATTGAGGATGTAAACAATCTATTACTGTTGCATTGCACCTGTGCAACGTACCAATTACCAAAAGAACCAGGTGCAATGCAGTGAAAATAGGCTTGCTCGGTGAGAATTAAGAAGCTCTGAGAGAGAACAAGTATAGTGATCCACGAATACTCGGGTTGAGAATGCAAGGAGACCGAGATACTCAATACACTTTTCTAGGTACAGAAGAAAGACACGAATTGAAGGTGATAACCGCCTAATTCACCTAATCCAGTCACGCAAAATACCCTAGAAAAAGAAAGCAACCGAAATTGAGCTGAAATTCAAGGTCTTCTCAGTGCAGTATTCAAAAGGCACAGTCTCAATCTCATCATAACCAAATCACCGAAACTAATTACTCTCACTAATCTCAGTCTCAGCTACTTCGATTATAGAGATCTGGTAAAAACCTACTAACCACGCAGAGTTCGATTATAGACTAAAACCACAAACATAAAGCTCACTAAAACAGGAGAGTGATACAGAAGTAATTTACGTAAATATGAATGTAAAAGAAGAGGAAAATAAACTGACCGGAGATTTGACTACGATGGCGTCCGGTTCGTGATCGGAGAGTCGAGGCTCGGAGGCGAAGCGGTGATAGTCCCCAGGAGATGCAAATGGTGGTTTCATAGAAGAGAAGGGGAGGTGGCGCTTGAGAGAGTGCATGATCTGGTCAGAGGGGAGTCCAGAGGAGTTGGGAGCTCGAGAACCCGACATGGAGCAGCGTTGGAGGAGAGGGTGAGCAAAGATCGAGTGACCTCGCTGTTGTTGAGGATTTGGGTTTGAAGGTCAGAGAAAGAGAGGGAAAATGGAGGGAGTTTGGGGTTTTACTTTTAGGTGCAATTGGGGAAAATTGGTAGAAATTCAACAGAACCCGAATTCGGAGAAGAAGAAGAAGAAGAAGAAGAAGGAGATGGAGGAGATCTGGGTATTCGGATGTTCAGAAACTGGAGAAAACCCAGAGAGAGAATCAAGAGAGAGAGAGAGAGAGAAGAGCAGAAAACGAGGGAAGGTTGAAACGAAGGAGGGAACTTGGTTCGGATATAGATGTGGAGGGAAGCGCTTATTAGAAAAATAAATAAATAATAAAAATTAGTTAAAAGAATAAAAATACGCAACCCAACAAGAAAAATAACAGGAAAAAAATACGCCGCCCTTCTTTAAGATATCCGTAAGCATTTGATAAATGCAAACATAACTAAGACCAAAAGGGTAATTTACCCAAGTTTAGTGATATTTATCGCGTTTATTTTAAAATTTTAATCTCTAATTTCAATTAATGAGGAGTAGGAGTGCTTTCCATGAAAACTAAACTATGATATTTGGTTGACTAATTACAGATAAATGTAGTGGAGTAAAAAGAAATTAGAATTAAAAAGGGGATTAATTAAGCTAAACAGAGGGGGCATTAGCATTTACGGCATATGGCCGATGGAATAAAGGGGAGAGATATAAAGAGCGGCAGCGGCTTTCCATGTCCACGTCAAACTTCAAGTAAAAAGAGAAACGTTCGAATCGGCGATGCGCGCCTTTTGTTGGCCAAATTGAGTGGCGATTATTTGGCGCCTAACACGTCCCCATCACCCAATAAACTCGTTGCTTTGGATGACGGGCCTTTAACATCTTGTTGGACAGTCCATTCCCAAGCCCAAATTTCAGATGGGCTTTCCGCTCTACTAACTGACCCATTATCGAGTCCATGTAGCAGTAACAGTAGCAGAGGGAAAAAATAATTTTAAGATCTCAATCAAATTTCAAAAACAGAGTTTTGATAGTTGCTTAGAAATTATTATACTTGGTAAATATGCATACGATACCAGAGTGACGTGACAATGACATTTTATGTACTACACAATTTTATTCCATAAATCCACTTTATCAGTAGTTTCAAATGGACAGAATTACCTTCAAAGTACAGAAGAGTCTTTTAACAACCACTACCAGACGATAGAGGATATACTTCATTCTCCTACACTTTCAATTAGCGTCAGATCAATCACTATTTGAATAAATGTGCGAGATCTGGGTCATCTAAACTCACATCCAACCATCCATTCAAGCGCATGAACTCTATATAGTGATCTGGAGGCTTCACGGCGCGGGGATTTCTTGGAGTGAAGCCATGAATCCTCTCGAGATCCCGAGCAAGCCACCTAACATAGGCTTGGTCCAAAGGAGGCACTATCTTCAAGAAGATTTCTTCCCTTTGTACTTCTTGTTGCTTCACCGGTTTGTTTCCCATGTGAGAAGCTGGAAACAGAAGAACCATTTGAAGGCAAATCACGTTAACTTTAAGGAAGTAATAGAGAAGCAAAAACATCAGCCTATAATAAAGAGATTAAATTCTAGACAACAGTTTTTAACATGTTCGTATGATAACAATACTCAATATTTCAACCAGGTACGCACAATAATGAACTTGACCCTACTATATTTAGTTGCCAAAGATACTAATAGGATGTTAAATCCAGGATGGAAGGTCACTGTTTGAGCCCATTTCTTCTAACCCCTCTACTTTTTTCATTGACCCACTATGCTAAACCCACACCCACAAACTAATAATGCTTATATTAAAATAACTAAGAAAGAATGACTGTAAGGATCTGACCAAGCATAAAAATTCAAAGTTCCAGATACATATCGGTTTCAATATGTTGGCACAGAGAAACATTTAAAACAAGACAGTTGAAACTCACTTGTCAGTCATGATGATAAGCAACCGTGCGACAAAGACAAAATAACATGGAAGGCCTGCAAGTGTGTGTAAATAGGAAATCCACAGCAGCTTAGATATGCATAACACTTGACAGTGTGATCGTTATTAAACGTCCCGACTGCAGAGGTTCATGCTTTTGGTAGCAAAACCAATGCATGTGCAAGATATCAAATGTACACAAAAACTGTACTAAAAGTTCAAATAAAGTCTTTGCCTATCAGGTAACATGAAAAGCAAAGACAACCATAAACATCAGGGTAAAGAAAGGAAACAAACTCTTGAACGAATTAGTGCAGAGACAAGTACGAGATGGTCAGATGGATAACAGCCAATTATCAAGAAAAAGACAATGTCTGCATTATATTTCAACAATCGTCAAACAAGCATGTCAATAATCAAAAAAGGAGGTCTTTGGTCTAGCTTGCCTTCCAGTGCTTAACTCCCCATGTATATTAACCACATTCAAGGCAGAGTCAGAATATAAATTAATCTACAGAAAAGTGTAAGTTGGGTGTGAGTGATTGGGCAAGGGAGAAACCAAATAGCCTCTTGCTAACCCTAATTTCAAATCGGCAATTAACTTGAATTCATACAGGCATAAACCATAGACGCAATATCCACAGCACAACACCTCAATTCAAAGCAAAATGAAAGAAATGACAATTTATCTCAAATCCAACCAACAACAATGGGATTTCCCAGTGTTGCAACCAACCGAACTTCCAAAAACCCTAACCCGATTCTGAATCGCAACAACTACAAACCATAATTGGCACAATATTCTGAATCTAAGAATGTCAAATTCCCCTCAAAGCCAATCAATTGGATTCACAACTCGATTTCCGGAATAGAAGAAACGAAGCATGAGAGTAAAGTTGTGTTTGAGAGCTAGATTCTGTCTGAAAAGAGAAAGGAAACAGAACCCACAAAGAAAATGCTACTAAAAAATTGAATATTCAGTTACTCGCAAATAGCCATAGGGATAGATTCTTTTCTTGTTGGGCAACAAGAAAAGAGAGAAAAGAATCTGAGTGCTGGAGCACACCCAAAAACCAAAGACCAGGCGGAGGAGAGGAGGCCGGAGCCGGAGGGAGGACGACGACTCACCTTAGCCGCACCCCGATAGGCGGTAGAAACAGTGACGTGAACGGACGTTGCACGGTCGCAATTTTCACTCTACTTTTTTCTCCGTTCAAATTAAAAGACAAACGGAAAGAGTGAAAAGACTACTCCGTCCTTCTTCCTTATGTCATTTTATTCCCTTCTTAAAAACATCACAATGCTATTTTTTTCGTTTGACAATTAAGAAAATAAAATACATTAAAAAGAGAGAAAAATTAAATAATATTTATAAGTGTTTTAATAGTGGCCTACTTATTGATAAGCACCTGCATAGAAGAAGAAATTTATGTTGTCTTTAAAAATAATTTTTTGTCTTTTGATGAAATAGTATTTTAGTTCAATGTAATAAATTATCTGACAAGATCTTGAAAAGAAGTCTTACGAAGATCCTTTAAAAAGCAGAAGTCTTCAAATTCTAAAGAATGAAAAAATACAACAGAATTTGTTAATTCTTGTATATTTAAAAGGATCAACATTCAATCATCAAAGTTAAGCCCATCTAAAGTCCAAAAAAACAATATTCTTTTTTACCGCCGTGAACGTTAAGAATCATACTCATGTTTAAAAGGATGAAGATATATCGTAAAATCAACGTGTTTCTCTAATATTTTCTTTATGTTGATTTATTATAAATAGTGAAAGTTAAAGTAATAGGATATGTTTCCGTCATAGTATAACTCAATAAGTTAGACATTTATCTTGACGTATTTAATTAAAAAGTATTTTGTAAATTTGGGATATATTTAAGTATATTTCTCTCCTTACTAATTATTTACTCTTATGATTTGGCTAAATTCTTTCCCACCTTTGTCTAAAAAAAATATAATAAATAAAAAAAGAAACTTTCCCACCCTGGAAATGGTAAATTCAGTTAGTTCATCTACCCTAGCTATCTCTCTTTTGGTGGGACGAGAAGCTTGCGTTTGCAATCAACCACTTCTGAAATTTTGTTATTTGAATAACTTTAAACCCTGTTTGATTATTGTTTTGTTAGAGTTTATATTCTAAGTTTGAACTAATTTATTAATAATATGTTTCTTAGTTTCATGTCATTAGAAATATAATAATGCTTTGAAATGTGTGTTTAACCCACACCATCGATCATATATATATCGTAAATCAATTAATTCTTTAATAGCTAGTCAAAATTATAAAATGATTAGCTCAGGTTTAGTGCTGGAGTTCACTATTAAAACCTAACCCCATGAAATGAAATGTCATGCCATGGTTTTGCACAGGACATGAACCAAAATATCTGCTGCTCACATAATTAAATTAATAAACAAAACCACTCTTTATTCCCATGTCAATGTGTATTTCTTTAATTATTCCTTTCGCTTTTTCTTGTTTAACATGAAAAACACGTGAAATGAAAGAAAAAACAAACAAACAATTTACAATGTATTTAACAAAACGTCTAGTCCCTTTGAGGGAAATTTCTGACATATAGTCCAAGATTTACTTATAATTATGCTCATTATTTAAAGAAAATATCTATATTTTGTATTTATCTTTCAAAGTTGTTAAACAATCTAACGGTGGAGAAGACAATATTATCGATATATTAGAGAATTAAATAATAAATTACTTCGGAAACTTTTTAAGGTTGTGGTGTTGAAACTTTGTTTTGTCGTATTAAATCGATGTACCAACTCTCCAAGATTTCCATTTTCACTTATTAAATACGCACGAGCTGAAGAATTCGAGATTCGATCACACAAAATAAGAAATTGGGTGATTTTGATCAATTAATATAGTAATTGGAGTTGGAGGTGGAGAGCTAATTCCTCTCTCCGAAACTCTGAGAAAAGACATTAAAATTATAATATAGTAGGTAAAATAAAAGTACCGGTAATAAAACGTTAGACTTCGACATTGCAGGTCTGCACAATCTGGAACTTCGTGGCCGTACCAACGGCGACGGCGTTACCGGGCTTCCCGTACCTTATTAACGCCGGGCAGTTAACGATCAAATGGTACCTGCCCGAAATCCAGGAGCCGACCTTCCACTTGACCCGGCCGTCGATCTTGACGTTGAAGAGCAGGGCCCCGACGTTGCGGTCCTGCTGCAGGGAGAGAGCGACGTCGGGGGCGACGGGGACGGCGTCGCCACTCAGAAAGGGGGACCAAACGACGACGTCCCTGTGGCCCTGGTAGGTGGAGGGGAGGAGCGTGGGGAGCGTGACCTGCTGGCCCCTGTACGCGCCGTACACGTCCATGCTCGTGTAGTACACGCCAATGCGGTCGTTGGGATTGCGCGACGAGATGGTGACTTGCATGCTCAGGGACAGCAGGTTGGCCGGAGAGGACGTGGCGTTCAGCCCGAAAACGGTGACGTCTTGGAGCATGAAGTTGGGCTTCGAGGGGTGAAGCACGGCCCATACGATCAGCACCACCAGGCCCACGATCACGATCAGGCCCAGGACCAAGATGGCCAGCCGCCGGAGGAATTGGCTGTAGTCGTCGTCGTCGTGGTGGCCGCAGTCCTTGTCCTTGGCGCTCATTTTGTTGGGATTTGGATATCGAGTCACGTTATGTTAAGAAATAACAGTGTAGAATGCAAAAACTCAAAACTCAAAACGGAGTTATTTATAACAATATGTGGGAGTTTTCATTTTTTCTTGGGGGAATTTGGAATAATAAAAGGAAATAAAATGGTATATTCAGTATTCTGTGGGGGGTGGATGTGTGAGTATATGCGTGTTGATGGGTGCAAAATGCGAAACTTTATCTTGGAGTTGGGAGGGAAGATGCCAAAGGGTCCCACCTAATTCAATATATATATAAGGATATCCACAACCATAATATATATAAATAATAATGTTACTGTGTTTTGTGTCTTGTGGTTATGACAATCAAGGATTTTTCCATATGGAAGCATGTTTTTTAGTGGTAAATTAGAAAGTTATCAACCATGTTGGGTGGGAAAGGAATTCAAACATACTTTTAATAACATAATATGATATTCGGAATGGCTCAATCTAACCTCTCTCAATTTGCTGATAACGACAAATGTGATGACAGAAAGACGATGTGATATTTATATGTCAAGAACGATTTGGACCGACATTGGTCCATTGAGCTTTTTTTTCTCCTGCCAGTGCACTCTTCCCCTTCTTACTTTTCAAAATTTAATATAAGAAAAAGAAAACGATGGTTTCTAATGTAAAAAGAAGTATTAGTTGAAAAAAAAAAGACAGTGATTTGGATTGGATTGTAGCATTAAAGTGAAGAGGAACATGGTTGGCAGTTGCGCCTTGTTTGTTTGGAGGTGAAAATGGAATACTTTTTTTATTTTTCCATTTTTGTGGAGTTTCTCTTTAGTGGGGAGACTAACGATTGGAGAATCATAAATAAGAGAAGACCAAGACAATAAGTGGAATAAAGTGTACCAAAAGAATGAGAACTCTTCACCGCCAAACAGATTCCAAAGCTAGAATTTCCCCAACTGAAAATAAAGCAAAAAACGACACCCAGTATATATTAATTAAGGGGAAAAAAAGGCCAAGAAAAGAATCTAATTATTTTCTTAGGTTCCCACGAAAAAAAAAAAAAAAGACCTTGGTCTTCCATAAACTAAAATGGTATTTAAAAAAAATATATATATATATATGTATACACGAGTCTTCAAGTCAATTTGAACATACATCGACTAAAGATTTTAGTCTTATTCCGTGTCCCATGCTAGGAATTATTACTCCTCTTTTAATTCCAAATTCAAGAATACGACCGATACGATCGATTGGTCTATATGTCTCTCTTAATATTTTTTTGTATCTCCCCATGGTTACAATTCGATCCTCACTTAATTTTTAAAATTACTAAGATTATGAACTTAAAAGTGAAACACTCTGGTAAATACTTTTTGAAATGATCACTACTTAAATGCTCTATACTTTATAATGCTTAGTGTTTTAAAATTTTAAAAATTGGTTTTTACTATAACCAAACATCATAACAAATTCGAAAAATACTTCTTATTAGGTAAATACATTTATTTCCCATTTAAAAATTCAAAAACGTCTACATGAAAATTTGGAGAAAAGAAACTTTAAAACACTACCCACTTCTTCAACTTACAAACAGAAAGACAGTTTTTTGCTCTTTTCAAACCATAACATTCTTTAATTTCATAATCGAACATATTTGAGATTTTGAAAACACAAAAACTCATAAAAAGCTAAATACACTTCAAGACGTACCACAGGCCTTTTTAAAGCTTCAAGGACATCAAATTCTCACATGGGTTGTCGTCTAAAGAAGTAAATTTAATAGCAAATCACTAAGATTCAAATGGTGAAACAAATATAAGCATAAATCTTTGTATAGTACAGAGAGTTGTCCATTTCCTGCGGCGAGAAGCAACCTGCCATAGCATAGCACTCATTCCAAGGCCACCCAAGTGTCCAATCAGACAGTACATATGGTTCCAGTAAACAAATAGCTTCCTATTTAGCAATTTCGAATTAACAAAACATCACCATCATTAAATCCTCCAATTGGGGTTATACAAACCACTGATATGATGATTTGTAAACCTGATCCAAAACTTAGGCAGCAATGTAATGGATTCTAGATGGACTAGAATTATCATTTAATTCTATACAAGTCATGTCACTATATTGCTTGCCACCAGTGGCAAACACCACCATCCCTAAATTCTAACCCAAACTCGTGGGTTGTTGGAACAATCTATCACATCCTTAACCAACAACAACAAAAAAAGTGTGTACTATGCAACAAAGTTATAAGGAATAAAAGTTTGGACATAAGAATTGGAATTCTGGGAGATGCTGGTATTTGGTCTCTGCTATGGATTATCAGGAAGCATAAAGATTTAAGGGGAGAGCTTGGTATGAAATTCTACAGTCAAGAAAGCAAAGTCAATATGTGTGTTTCTTGTTGCTAGCAACTTAATGAAACCAATATCAACCACCAAATCACCAACATATCACAGATAAACCACACTTCAAAGAAATCAGGTCAGATTTCTGCATAGAATTTTCCACCAGAGGAAAATTTGTTCAGAGAGCTAATCAAAGACTGACGTAACATATATCTCTGGGTTCTCTCCTACATTTGTGGCATAGAAACAGTTGGTGTCAGGAGCCAAGAGGATGCAGAGGAGAAGACTGAGAAGAGAAATAAACGTGTATCTCAATCATCACCCAATACACCTTCCGTTCCCTAAAGATGTCTTGCTTGATTAGAAGGCAACACATTCCAAATGAGGTGGATGGCAAGAAATTGGGGGGAAATGAGATTTATGAAAAACCGACTAAACCATCCCCAAACAGTTCAGTTGATGAACTTTGAGAGCTGGCTTTTAGAAATATATGCTCCATACCTGATAAACCGACCAACCAACGACCAACTTTATTTACCAAAAATAACCACCCTCCCTTATCTACCTCCTTTTTGGAGATTCCCCAGCCTCCCCCCTCCCCCATCTTCCCCTTCCATCTAATCAGTTACTTTGTTGCTCCAGCAGAAAACAATGGTTAAGTCAATTGGTTGCCCCCACTGACTGAAACTGTCGGTTTTGACTTTCATCCAAACCAAAGGCTCATTTCAGCCTCAGATCTATGCTCTTAGGCTGGTAATGACCAACCTTCAGGCCTTACATTGGAGAATATTATTCATGCAAGAGAAGAATGAGCTGGGAGAATTTTGATTTCAGTTGGAAATACTGTCCTGCTACTCTGAAAATATCTTCATCGGTAAAATTTTGGTTTTAAGCAAACAAAAAAAGAAAAGGGGTTCACCGGGTCAAAGGAAAACATTGTGTAAAGTTTATTACTAGTGAATGGAACTAGTTCAAATAGATAAACCTTTGAATATTTGAAACTCCTCCAAATTTTCTGGTTAGTAACTCAAATAAGGTGGGGGAAAAAGCAATCCATGCCTATCCTGACCAGCTATACGTTCTAAAAATCTAACAAGGATGGCAATTTCTGTAGCAGAAACTGTCAACAGAGCACAAAAGCAATGGCAGAGAATTGCTCCGGATATCTCTCTACACTTGTAAGATTCAACCCACCAAAAGAAGCAACAGAATTAAGTTTTATGTAAACACTGAAAAACAGGTAAAAGTGTATAACTATCAATCCAATGTCTTCAGAAACAATAAATTTGGCTGTGAACTAAAAGTAAAAATATTACTAGATTAATAACCACAGTATGAACTGAATTGCAGTAAGCTAATTCTAATACCATCAAGTGAAGAGACTACAAATGTTCTTCATCCCCTGCTGCCACACACCAATAGAAATTCTTCATTTCTCAACAGTTCCCTCAGCTAAGGATCCAATATCAATCCCATTTCAATACAAAAGATAAACAAAAGAGAGAAGAAGTCAATTACCCTATTCCCTAAAGGAGAAGATATGAAATCAACATCATGATCGGATAGCAAAAATTGCATTATAGACTATACATCATCGAATCGACTTACAGAAAACTACTCATTTATAACCTAAAAAATCCATGTACATTTACGCCTACATGAATTCCTCTTTTTTATAGAACCAAATCCCTTTTAAACATGGGGTTAAGTCGCATTAATGCAAGTACCGAGAATGGCAGCAGAAATTACTCATATGCCGACTTTGCAGGGCCTTGATCCACCCATCAGCTTACCGGAAACGCTGCTATTCGAGGACGGCAACCCGACCGACAGTTCCTCGCACAGAACCCTAAGCAAGCGTCTCCTCGTCCTCCACCAACCCGCTCGGAACCCGACCCGCGCCAAGATGACGAAATTGAAATCGACGGCCCCTCGCCGGCGGTCGTCGTTAATTTCAT